TTGATTCACGCCCGGTACCAATGATCCGCCCCGTACTGCGTTCCTATATAAAAACATGGTCATCAAGAAATAAAACAGCACATTTAAGTGATTTGGCTAAGCGACTAACAGTTATGAGATTAAAAGGACTATTGGAAACATAAAGGACTGAATCTAAAGGTAAGGAAGGAAGTGGACTTGCTTGACCTATTGCAGTTGCCATGGTTTGAGACTTATTGGTCATTGCGACTTTTGGAAGAGATTGATAATACGAAATAGTAGTGAAAAGAGATTTGTTACCAGAAATATAATCTGATGCACCTGAATCAATGTCCCAAGACTCAGAGGATGAAGATTGGGAGAAACAAGTCATGTTATTACCTGTTTGAACAACAGAAGCTATCTCAGAAGATGTCTGCTTACATGCTTTGTACTGAAGGAACTCAATATAATCTGCTAAAGAAATCATCCGACTATTCAAAGCATCGGTTCCCATGTCGCTACAATTTGTAGTAGTAGGGTTAACTTGAAATAGTGGAAATAAGTAACTCCTGTGAGAAAACTGAAGAAATAACTTGAAAAACACTGTTTATAGCAGGAAAACAAAACATTGTTCTGTGCCGGAAACACTGTGGCTCGCCGGAAAATTCCTAAGTTGTCGGAATTTGTCGTAACCAGGATGGATAGACTAGGAATTCTCTTGCGAGCAAGTTGTCCTGAAGAAATGTTTTCAAAAAACAAATGGCCGGAAATGTCATTGTTCACGCCGGAAAAATATAAAAGTGATCGGAATTTGATTTGAATTAGATGGGCAGGCTCGGAATTTTGAGGAGAGCACACTGTCCTGAAGAAGCTTCGCCAAAAAATGGCCGGAAAGTGACCGGAGCCCTCGCCAGAAAAGTTGTTGTCGCCGGCGCGTGGAGGAGCGTGGCGACTTTTCTGCCAGATAAAATTTCAGGGGTTAGTCGTCGGAGGGTGATCTACCTCGTGGTGGTGTTGGTTTTAGCACAACACCGACAGAAAGTGACTTTCACTTAGACAAGCCTTAGGTCACCGGAAAAATTGCACGATAACTAAGTTCTTTCTTCCCGGTTAACGCTGGAATGACGCACAACGATCTTTTCTCACTAATGCTCTGATACCATGTGAGAAGGCACGGGAGAAAATATGTTATTGACATTGGATAATAAATACAATACAAGAGGTCCCTATTTATAGCTATACACTACAAGGAGATATTACTCCTCTTCCAATGTGGGACAAGACTTCACTATACATATCTGTAAACTAACACATGTCATGTAATAAACAGTTTGCCTCAAGCGCCAGGAAAAGAAAAATCTCCTTTAAAGTATCTATATGATTTAAAGCAAAATGTAAATTAGTTTCAGGTGTTTGGTTCAATTTGATATTTTCATACACCAAAACAGAAACCATTGAGAAAGGTTAGGCATTGTATAATTCATCATAGAAACCTCCTTTTTCGTAATCGAGAAATCCTTGAGGGCCAGTGGCGCACGGTTCAAAACGCAGTGGACAATGGTTCCGCTCCTCCATCCTTCTCCACTTAAATACTAGGCTTGTGTCTGCAACAGGGTTTGAAACCCTTGACGTGGGTCTAATCCACACATCATGTGTTGTGCTCTTACCACTAAACCAAATCCCGGGGGGCTATTCATCATAGAAACCTTGTATTCCTGTTATTGTCTCATCTCTAAGAAATAACACATGTTAATTGTGTTTGACACCACAAAATAAATGTGTTTGTTATTTATCAAAGTATCAAGTTATAAATACAAATATTGTTTTATATTATTTTCTCATATTGTATCAGAGCACCTAGGTAAAAGTTTAAGTAGTTTCTCCTTAATAGTGGACGGTCTTATATCGGCCAAGTCAAAATTTGCTTCATAATTTTATTATTATTTTCTCTTTTAGGTAAATATTTCTTTACCGTCGCGTTTGTTTTCGATGTTTGTTCCAGTGAAACAGAGACATCTCAAATGTTGGGAGACACTACCTATTTCCAGCTAAACCTGTCCCTGTCAGATGACTATCCCAACAACATCTTATTACCTCTAGTGGCACTGCCTCTTTTTGTCACAAAACCAACAGTATTCGGATCACTCTTCAGGTCATTATTTCGACAACTTCTAACAACTTTTCCAACAAATTCGAGTGACTAAACTTTTCCAATGACCTCCCCATAGGTTTTTAGAAGCTGTTCAAGCGACAGTGTTCAAGTCGCATTTCGGAGAACGTTTACTTTTCTATACTTTCAAAGTCCCAACCTCGAGTCTGAAAGGATGGTGTTAGAATGTTAGAACAAAAATATTAGAAGAGCTAAGTTTTTCAATTAGATATCATCATACAAATAATATGTGTTTTGTGTTTAAATCTATAAATAACATTCTTCTTTTCTCACAGATAGATTTGCAATGTAATCACAACCCAAATCTTTAGATTTCAAGGACTGATCCCGGGACTTTTCTCGCAGACAGATTTGCAATGTAATCACAACCCAAATCTTTAGATTTCAAGGACTGATCCCGGGACTTTTCTCGCAGACAGATTTGCAATGTAATCACAACCCAAATCTTTAGATTTCAAGGACTGATCCCGGGACTTTTCACTCAGTGTTATTAAAGGCGTGCTTAAAGCGCGCTTAAGCTGTTAGATAGTTATGTGTAAATAGTCCTAGTCCTATATGTAGTAGGAGTAGAATATGTCCTAGTCCCATATGTAGTAGGAGTAGAATATGTCCTAATCCCATATGTAATAGGAGTAGAATATGTCCTAGTCTCATATGAAGTAGGAGTAAAATATGTATTATATATTAGACTCATTGTATCATTGTTAAAAAAAATAGATTTTTCACCCGTGCATTCTCACATGATATCTGAGCTTTAGTGAGAAAATTATCGTTGTGCGTCATTCCAGCGACATCCGGGAAGAAAGATCTCATCGTCGTGCAATTTTCCGGCCACTTCGTCTTGTTCCCAGGGTTATCAATGCTACAGTAGTACTGTGCATATACCAGTACCACCATCAGATCCAAAACCCTTGTGCGACCAAACCCCAAAAATTCCAGTCCCATCTGAACAGAAAAGCAGTCACTGTGCGTCTTTCCGGTTGACGACTCAAGATTAATTTGCGTTATCTCCTCATCAGTAAGTGTTGTGCGAAAACCAACACTACCATCTTGTTCGGAAAAGTCAAGCGACAAAATCCCAGTCAATCGCTCTGGCAGAAAGTCCCTTACGCGCCTCCACATGCCGCCAAAACTAGGGTTCCAATGAGCTACAATAACTTTTCCGGCGATGCGAGCCATTCCAGCCATTTTTTGACAAAACTTCTTCAGGACAACTTACTCGTCCAATGATTCCGAGCCTACCCATATAAATTACATCAAATTCTGACAACTTTACATATTTCCGGCGTGAGCAATGATTTCCCGGAGTGAGCAGTGATTTCAAATTTTTCCAGGCCAACTTCTGCTTATCAGCATCCACTTGGTTTTATTTCTTTTGGGGAGTCTAGTGGCCTTGTATGCCGAATGATCAGCTTGCAGATATTTTCACCAAGTCCCTCACTGGTCCTCGTATTAGTTACATGTGTAACAAGCTCGGTACATATGATTTGTATGCACCGCCTTGAAGGGGAGTGTTAGATAGTTATGTGTAAATAGTCCTAGTCCTATAAGTAGAAGGAGTAGAATATGTATTATATATAGGGCTCATTGTATCATTGTTAAAAAAATAGGTTTTTCTCCCGTGCATTCTCACATAAGCCTTGAAGCGAGGCTCAAAACATGTTGAGTGCTTCGCCTCGCTTAACGGGCGCTTCAGGTGTTGTCAGCAAGGCTCTAAGGCATACTTTTCTTTGCTAACGAGCATAATCCAGAAGAGGCGACACTAAATAATTGATATTTCACTTTATCATAAATTTTCTTCAATTTCTTTGTCCATATATTTGGTATTCATACTTATAGATATTAGTCTTGGACTACACATATATGTTTATAGTTTTTCTTCATTTGCGCCTTTCTTTATTAAAGCTCACGCTTTATTTGCGCTTTGCGATTAAAGCCCCAACAGACCTTAGAGCTTTTTTGCGCTTTTCGCCTTTGATAACACTGTTTTCACTTCCTAATTTCCTTCTCATTAGAAGCCCTTCGTTATCATAGCCCATTAACACTTTTCATCTTTTCCTTTAAAATCTTTTTATGGTCCAAAACTTCTGCAGAGCTACTTATTTATAAAATATGCATACAAAAACAAAAAAAAAGAACATTCAGTGAGAGCTTTGACAAATTGATGTGGCATATTCCTGCACTTCCACTAGTGACTCTGATTCCCTGAACAAATCTAACAATAAAGACTCTCCTATACCAGTAACCGCAATACAATGCTGACTACATGAAGTACAAATACCAACTGCATTTCACCCTTTGCTTTGGGAAGTAGAAATAGGCAAGCCCATTTCCCTAAAAGATTTCTTATATTAATTTGGAACAAGATTGTATCAGAAAAGTTGATGGTCATGACTAAGAATATTTTTGAAAGTTAGGTTAACTGAATAAACCCTTTCCTACTTTCTTACGTTCAGAAGTTAATAATACAGTCAATCCACTGGCCCATACATTAACTTTTCCGTATTATCCTCTGTTTCCCTTCACCATAGTCTTCTATTACTTTTATCTTCATTAAGACGCTTATTCTATATTATGCACTGGAGAAGTAGTTTATGAAAATATCAGTTGTATTACTTAGATAAAGGTCATTTTATTTCCTTGCTTATTAAGCAAGAACGAGGCTATCTTTAGTTATTAGAAGCGAGTACAATGACAAATACTTTAAGGAATTTAAGAGTCTTAACCTTATTTATTGTTAAATTTGCACTAGATTTGCATATGGTAAATTCATGAAACTACAGTTTGTGTTTCATTATGAGAATATAAGAGATGAGAAGAGAGCATGTAAGAACAAAACGGGAGGAGGATTCTGAAAAGAATGAGGAACCTGAGTGAGCGTTTTTGGTTTGTCAACTGTTGAAAAAGTAATCTCGTGCATTGGCCTGCACAAAATCAATTGGCACATAAGAATATTGCTAGGAAAGAAAAGTCAATTAGAAATCCTTTCCAAAGACAATAAACTCAGTATTGAAAAGCTACAATGCCAACTACTAGCATCATGAATCTTATCATTTACAACTCAAGCATTATGGAGAATTTTACCTGGTTGACCGCGAAGTAGAATTAATATCACTTTCTCCATGATTTACATGAGCTTTATTATCATGAATTTCAAGGGCTTGAAGATTTGGTGATGAACCAAATGTTGGAGGAGGATGAATGCTGGAGAGGGTAAACAAGATGGCAACACAAAAAAATTAAACTACTTAAGGGAGCACACTAGAGAAAAATCACAGGTGCAAAAATAATACACAAAAAGAAATGATATTGAAAAATAGGTAACTTTAGTGCTTAAACTAAGAGAATACCTTGGGATTTCATCTTTAACTGAAGAATTTACATCAACCGTATTGGTTGAAACTCCATTGTACATGGGCTGAACCTACATTATGAACTTAAAGTCAGAACTTGCATGTGAATATTTCAAATTACAAAAAAACTTGAGTTAGGCCATGCATCGCATTCTAAAGTTGCAGCAATGATCAAATCTTTGCTAATGATCTTCAAGTTGGTAATCACCCCCTTTTCTCTTCTGCTGGTTTATATATCTGGACATCTCATCTTTCCTCCATCTCATCTCACATATCTAGGCAGAAGCGCACTTCCCGAATTTGGTAGTAAGCCTGATTTTGTAAAGTCCTACTGTAATTTGTCTCTGTCTTTAATGTTAAAAAGAGCTTAGAAATGACATGACTTCCATAGTCATTCAAGTCTCTTGATCAAAATCTAAACTCTTCATCTAATGCACACTTAAAGCAGATGGATATAGAGACACAACCCATTGGATGCCTCAAAGATTCAGAGGCTCAATCTACTAGCTTTAACTTGTCTTCCTAAGAAATTTAGAAAATTCTCAGACCAGAAGCATACAAGCCATTCCATAAGAGCTACCTAAAACTACTTTTGCATTACATGATATATTGCTGAATTAACTCAATGAACGCCATAGATTGACTAGCTTAGCCAAGAGATGAAGAAAATTCTCAACACCTTATATATTAAAGGTTAACCAAATAAGAACTTGGCCTAGATAGTGTAATCAGGATATGTACAGTTCAACTCGGATATCTTACTGTGAGAAACAAAACAAGGAAAAGAGTCTGAGAGGATGTGCGAAGACAAAAGTCTTTATGCCTATATCTTTTTAAATTCACGCTTTTAAATGTACATGTTACATTTTTGTGAAATGACACACTCATTAAGCCACACATATGTCCCTATTATTCAAGAAGAATGAAGTGAATTATATGATTCTTATGCATCGTCAAGCCCACTATAGGAACTACACAAATAATTCTTTCAATAATTTATTAGGAAATATCAATAAGCTGCTATCCTTACTACATTATTTCCCAAGAGAGTTCTCCGTTTCCTCCTAGGACAGAATGCAAGAGAATTTTGGGATGGATGGATGAAAAGAAAAAAGTATGGCTTTGAAGAGATTATTGGCTAATTTACTAGTTTCCAAATAATAGACCCTGTGCTTCTTGGAAACACCTTATGTGTTGAATCAAATCACCAACTTATTCAAGTAAGATCAAGTAGAGATTCCTCCTTGTCATACATAGGGAGAATTTGTTCAAATGTCATTTCTACGTAGCCTCAGTTTTCAGAGTTACCAAAGAAAAAAGAGCATTGACAATGATAGGGCACACACGCATAAAATTGCAGGAAAGGCAGATGACTGTATAACCTGCACAAGGCGGACATCAAAGACAGGTCTATTCGCAGGATCCTCTGCTTGGTCCAGTAATCTCTTATGCATGAGCACATCTTCTGCTCTTTCCACATTCACATCCGATGCATATCTGCAGGCATCCAAATTCAGTACCAAAAAACTTAACTTTTAGAGGCGGAAAATTCGATCAATTACTGAGTAAACCAGTACAAATTTGACAAAATAAAACAAATGGCCAAAAAAACACAAGGTAACCGAAAAATGAGGAAAGGTAGGGTTTATGAAGTTAACCGAACAGGGAGGCGATTGAAGTGAAGCCAAAGGTGATCTTCAAAGCCAGGGAGTTTAACCTCTTCGAGATTCAAATCCTGTAGTCGAGTAAGCACTTGGTTAAACACTTCAAGCTTCTGCCTATGTAGCCGATTTTGTTTCGGCGACGACGGCTCCATCGCTCTGCTTCCGCAACTCTCGTTATCGTCCATCGCCATTCAACAACAACAAAAAAGGCATACACACAATTGCAAAAACTCCTCTTCTCTAGAACGGCTTAAAAAGTTCAAATAACAGTAGAGTAGCGATAGAAAGTACTTTCCATAAGTTGAGAAACTTTAATGATGAAACAAATGGAACGGATTTTGAGTTTGATTTGATGGCTAAATACGAGAAAGGGGAGAGCGACAAATAGTTTTAGGGAAAAGATGGAGGAGAGAGAAGGGAGAAGATTCCGTTTTTCTAGTTATACTTTGGGTGCGGGGCTGGGCTTTATTATTAGTGCTTAAAAGAAAGGGGTATCGCTCCCCCATTGTTTACCAGTGGGGCCCGTTATTTCGTGGTGAGCTTATCCTTTTATGAGATCAGACCAACACATTTTAATTATTTTATATCTATGGATAACAGAAATTGGTGATTATTACTTATAAAAGAAAACTTTCTTTTACATAGAGAACAAAATAGAGGAATCCATTAAATGGAATTTAAAATTATGATCTTTTGTTCACTGAACTTTCTGTTGTTACTTCTAAATTTTATATTGCCTTTTAACTTTTTTTTTTGGTAGCTAAAAAAAATAGCCCGATGCACAAAGTATGTTGCATTCACGTAGGGTCCGAGGAAGGTATATTAAAAAAAAACTTAGTAGTTAGTATATTAACATTTTAAAGATTATTGGATATCTTAGTTTTTTTTCAATTTATTTTACTAATATATTCCACACATTAATATGTTATTTGTCTTACAGAAGTGATCAAAAATGGATATTCATGTTTATTCACTTTATAAGGTAACTAAATTACAAAGGATATCGATGTAATCAAGGAATTACTATTATTCTATTTCTACTACGTACTTACCTAAAATAGAAAAGTTTATAAATTATATATAACTACTTTGTCATTGTATCTAACAGTTGTTGTCAAAAGTGAATGTTTATATTAGTTCAGTTTACAGCTAAATTACAAAGGTTTTTAAAAATAAAAATAAAATTAGGTGGGGTAGGGAATTATAAAGTGGAGAATTAAATCCTCACCAACAAGGTAATAGTTTAGTCTTTTAGGTAGGCAATCAGCTACTAAGATTTCATAAATTACAAGAAATATAAATCATTGTAATGTAATCAAAAAATTATAATGACCATAACTACCTCAAGTTACAATTGGATGTTCTTCATTGTTGTACCTTAATGGTGTGTACCATGGGAATATTCAAGCATCCAAGTGAAAATATTCTTGAGCAACAACAAGGGTGTAAAAATTAAAAAATACTTTTTGAGTAAATCCAAGAAATGATGAGGTGGAATCTGTTAGTCCCACCAATATTGCTGTATTTGTAAATAATAATTCTGTAAAATATAAGTTATCGTAATGAAACAGTAATTAATTCGAGCCCACTGAATTCACAGTGTTTCCTTAAGGAATTTAATCCCCTTCTAGTACCCAAGGTTATGGATTATTTCCTCTCAGGATAGAAAGCGGTACTTCAAACCCCAGTGTTTCAGCGAACACAAAGTT